TGTCATAACTCTCATTTTGATATATCATTTTTAAATCTGCAATAGAATTAGTTGACTGTGTTATTTTAAAAAAGTTATCATAAATACGATTTGCACGTTTAGTGGCTTTAAAATACGTTGGAAAATTTGCAGTCGAACCATTCTTGGTTTTGCTTTTGTTAATAGGAATTTCACCCACTCCATACGTATCCATATTATTTGTTTTGGTCGCTGCATATGTTGTACCATGTTGAAGTTGTTGTCGTGAACTTAGGTCGATGTGACGTCGGGTGTGATCTACAATATCAATAACTCGAGTTAATTTTAATTTAGACACAGTCGGTGTTTGTACTAAAGCAGATATATCAATTGTGTTTTTACTTTGTAGCTTTAAGGTAGTGGTTTTTTTATTTGATTTCATTCTGTTTGTTGATTTTAAAAATGTTGAATCACCGCCGACATGAAGTTCGTCCGATTGTCTGTCAACTGAGCTTATTCGTATCGGTATTCCCTTTGATTTTAGCCGCTGTTGAGGAGTGGATGGCACTTTTATTAAATTATACGGAGGAGTATAGTCATCAGAAACAGCGGGCGTATTTCTTGTTTCCACTTGTTTTATTTCATTGTAATTTTCAAAAGACATTTTGGTGTTAACGTGTTTAGGCGTTATATCTCTTTCTATACCTTTCGTTTTATTTACCATTGCCTCAGTTGTAAACTTGTTCTTTATTTTATCAACTTTCTGTAAAGATGCGGTGTTCATTTGTTGCTCAAACAAAGGCCAATTGGATTTACTTTCGCTATTCACTCTGTCAGTATGAATTAGGTAGTCTTTGTTACCATTTATGTTGAAATACCTGTCTTTAAACATTGATGTTGTAATTCGCGAAATATTACTTGAATTGGATTTTGTTTCTTCCACGTTAAATGGTGTGTATTCATAAAAACTATCTTTGGTAAATGTTTCGTTACTTGTAATATTGTTCATTTTGTTTTGATAATAAACTTGAGAGTTCCAAGTACTTGAACTAACATATTCTTGATGAGTTATTTTCGTCAAATAATTGTTATTAGATTTTGCATCTGACTTACCCTTTTGTGTTGTAGTCGGGAGTTTGTTGTGAATTTGGTTTTGCACGTCTATTGATCTCGGTGTTGGCGAATACATCACTGACTTTGTTTTCTTTCTCTCTGCAGTTTTATAGATTTTAGAATATCGTTCACTTGTAGCCGTCAGTGTCTTTGCTTGATTGTTATTAGATTTTTTGTCACTTTCTTTGTCTAAAGGTTTGCTGTCACTTCTTATGGCGTTTTTAAAAGAACTAGATGTAGAAGTATTAGGCACCGAGTGTAAAAATTTTGGTATTTGTGGAGACACAGCTGATTCCGTAAAATATTCCACTCTGAGCGATGCAGTTACTTTGTCATTATGTAATGTTATATTTGAAGGATCATAGTTAGTACGAAGGATATATAACGTTGAGGTTTTTGTTGGTTCTGTTGTTTTGGAATGTGTAAATTTTTCGCTATAGGGGGTCAGTGGTTTGGTTTGATTCTTCCGAGATTTGCTGTCATTAGCAAGGTGCCTAAATATAGATTTGGTGTAACTTTTCTTGTACTGAGTAAAGTAGCTAGACGTCGAAGCAACGGGCTCCGAAGGAAACAAAGTCGGTGTTTGTGGAGTGGCAGCAGTTTCTGTAACATTTTGAACACTAAGGGAATTGTTATATTTTTCCCTGTTGCTGTGCAATATCCTTGTTTGATTGCTTTGAGAAGTTAAAATGCCATTAATATTTCCATGCGTAGCGTTTGTTATACTTTTAGTGTAGTTTTTAAAAAAGCTTGACGTCGAAGAAATGGTTTCCGAATACAATACTGTTGGTATTGGAGAGGAGATGCTCGTGTTTATGTCCTTGTGAACATTTAGTGTAGGAGTTGTGTATGTTTGTATTGTAGGATTTGCAGTTTGCAGGAAATATACTGTTGCTGTATGTGATTGTTGGTGTACTTTTTTAAAAGAAATAGGACTGGTTGGTAGTTCGGTACTAGTTTGTAAGTGGAAGCGATTGTTAGTTTTAATGTTGTTCAAGAGGGATGTTGTAATACCTTCAATATAACTGGTGTTCCTTTTGTTCATATTTTTCATTGAGCCAACTGTTACTAAAGCATCATTTAACCATGTTATTTTACTTTCTTGAGATTGAATCACTTTGTTTTGTGAAGCATTCGGTATTGGTGACTTCTTTTGGTAAATTTCTTTAATAAGGCTTTTAGGTAATTGCGATTTTTTACTCAACGCTTGGGTTCTATTTCGCAAACCATTCTTGATAGAAGTTGTTGGTTCGGTTGAACTTTTAACCCATTCACTTTTAGTTACATTATTATAAGGAGTAGGTAGAATGACACGTGTTCTAATGGAATTCTTTTTCAAGCTATGAATTTGCTTAATTGGCTTCGGTGTTGATACAGAAGACGGATAAGACGCAGTGACTCGAGAATTTTCTGATGAACTGAATCGATTTGATTCTTGCAACGTGATAAATGTTACATTTGGTGTTGTCCATCGTTTTGTTGTTTTAGTCGCAGTCAGGGAGTTCATCATGAGGGATACATAATTAACTTCATTAAGATCGTTGAGTGGTGAAGTATGTTGTATTGATTTTAAAAATGTTCGATCTGTTAGTTCTGAAGCATAGATTTTTGTAAAAGTTTTATCAAGCTTTTTCGTCGTTCTGAATATTTCACTTCTTGAAGTATTCGTCTTACGACTATATGTTATTATATTTGTCGTTTCTTCGTTATTTCTGTTGTAAACAAGAGACTCTGTTAAATCTGTTTCATTGCGTTGTAATTTGACTTCGTTCTCTGTTCTTTTTCCCGTATATTCTACATAATTAGATGTGTACGCTTGTATGGGTGTAAGTGTCCAAGAATTGTCACTCGATTTCGGTTCAGTAGGCGCTTGCAGGGGAACCGGCGGACATGTAGTATTATTTAGTATTGTATTGTTTGATAAGATATAGTTATATGGAGAGAAATATTTAATGGTAGTATTAGACAACATGTCATAGTTACAGACTTTCAAATAGATTTTTTCTGCTTCTGCTGCATTTGATATTTCATTATTTGTTACATTCATGAAGTCTTCTCTTCTTCTCTCGCTATTTAATTGTGAATCGATTGTTGTTTTGCTTGTTTCATAGAAACTATTATTAATTGCTATACTTTTTTCAATTTTAGGAATTTTATTAAGTTTAGAACTCATAAACTTTTTGTAATGATAAGTAAAATGTTGGTTCGAATAGTTAGTAGATTGGTTTTTATGGTCGACCACTAGATTAGAGTAATAATGATTTTTATTATTTGTAATTTGGACCTTCTCAGTTCTCATCGTCTCGCTCTTCCCTTGTCTACGGATCAGCTTTTTGTTATATATTTGAATCAAGGTTTTAATTTTAGAAACCGTTTCTTTGAGTTTATTAACCTGCTCCGTGTGTTCACCTTTATTTAATTTATTTTCTTCAGGATTCAGATCATTCAGTGAAGTTTTACAATAGCTATTTGTATTGTTTATATAACAACAGATGTCACTGTATTGCTCGTAGGCGTAATTTGTCGATAGACTCGTGTACACTTTTATAGTTCCACCTTTTCTTATGAGTTTAAATGTTTTTATTAGATTATTTTTTTCACTTTCCAATAAAACAGTGAGCACAGATTTCAAATTACAGTAAGATACATTCTTTGCGCTCGATATCTTGGTGTGCTTGGGGTCGTAGGCGGGGTCGATGAAGTCAACGTAGATGTTGCCCTTGTCCTCGAGCGCTGCGTCTACCTCGCTCAGCCTCACGGCACTCGATTCAGTTTTTGCTCTAAAAGGTTTAGATAAATTCAAAGTAATAATAATGATAACAGACCTCATCGCGTTCCTGTCGAATGTCTGCGGCTTCTCATATAAATTATACTTTTTAATTTCATATTTATGACGATCTTTAGATTTTATCAATATGTCATACATTATCTTTTTAAATTTCGATTTTAACTGATTGTCCATAAAATATTCTTCATACTTTCGCACAAAATCGAATCGAGAACATTTTGCGATATATCCTATGAGCCGAGGCAGCGTAACATCGGACTGTTGTAGCGGCAGATCGTGGCAGGTCCTCTCGTATATGCCCTTGTATTGATCGAGGTCCTCCTCGCCTGGCGCCTCGGGCACGGACACGACAACATTGTTATTTACAACATTTAGCTGCTTCGCATGCAGAGAGTCACGTATACAGGCACATAAGTTATTGAGAATTGTAGAAGTGACATTTATTAAATCATCCTCGTCGCTCGCCGCATCGATGGTTTTCAGGAAATGTGTGAGCAGCGCGCTGTCCTGAGCAGCCACGTCGTCAGCGCCCCCGTCGCCACCTCCGCCTCCACCTCCACCGCCGCCCGGCTCATTGCGAACTCCTCCGCAACATATCAGCACCAACGGAAGCAACGCTTTAATTTTGAAGCTCATTATTGAGCAAGAAATTTTTTATTTTCCGCGGCAGCATGTTGACTTTTGGCTTCCGCAGCACGCGATTGCCTCGCGCAAACAACGCGCCGCCAGATGTTATTGTTTGTGGAATTGTACAATAGGAGATGTTTGCAGAGCGCTGATAAGCAGCGCTATATTACCAACCAATTACCTACTTCAATATGTTCGAGAGCAAGTAAGACCTTGCTCTTATTGTAAAATTTTTTAGTTTTGTTATTGAATCTTTATAACAGCTTTAAATGTTACATTTTTTAGTAACGTAAAAATATAACGTTTGCCGCGTTACATATAAAAAGTTGTATCGTAGATAAGCAACGATTTGTAGCTTAAACCAAGCAATATTTTCTTTATGGTACCTTCTTATTCTCAATAACTTTTTCGTGTTTCTGTTTATATTGAACTATAATATTTGTATTAATGAAACTTTTGTTAAATTTAATGTGTGTCAAAAATTCTACAGAAAATAGTGTGTGTTGACACTGACCCAGTTATCCATTTCCTTGTGCCGCTCAAGTAGCACCTCCTGCAGCCTGGGACCTTGGTCCGCCAGGAACTCCTGCACGAGCGCTCGCGTCTGTGCTAGCTGCGGCGGAGGCACGAGCACGGCCGCGTACTCAAGGTACGTGGTCATTGTCGCTTGCAGCTCCGGCACCGGCAGCTTCGGCAACTGCAAATTCTGGTGGAGAAGAACGCGGTGAGAGGGACATCGAGGGCGTAGGGGGCGCGGGCGGCGTTACACCTACCTGGAAGTCCTCTTGGTCGGCGCCGTCCTCGCCATCCGCCCGCACGCCAGCGGCCAGCCAGCGCCGCGGCAGCGAAAGCAGCGACTCTCCCCATGCTGGAACAAATCTTCTTCATGTGTACACCGTGTTGCCACCAACGCAATTTGTTGCAATTCACCTTCATATGTATAAGTTCGAAAGTAAAGGAGTCATTTTTCGAAACTTATTTGGTACATCAGTTGTTCGATACAGATCACAGAATCACAGTTAAACAAACATTAGATGATGTTTTGGAAGATAAAACCGAACTTAATAATCAACTAAATCAAATTTATTGGCATTTACAAAAAAGGTTTAACAAACTATTGTAAGTGAAAAGTTTTTTTATTTAATCCTGTATGTAGAGCGCTGTACAGGTGTAGCAGCAAGTATGGCGCTCCCCCGAGACTCACAGACATGCTCCGACACGCGAGCACTCACAGACACGAGGGTGGCGGCGCGATCCCCGATACATTGTGCTGTATGCTGCACTACATATTTACACCTCACATACAACTCTGTTACTGTACTTACACTGCGACCTACCATGTCCATTACATCTATAGGTACAAATAAATAAAATTATTAAAATACTTTTTACATTGTAAATTTAGTATAAGGTGGCATACGAGCAACGAGCAAGCCACCTGAATTCGCAGAATTGGCGGCCTTTGCCCATAGGTATCAAAAATTGCAAACACGTTGTCTACCTTTAATAGACGGTGGAGGAAACGCACATAAAGATCTACCCTTTGTATGCGTCCCCTCCTCCTCCTCCAGCAAATCCATTTCTCCTTGCCAGAATCTGGATGCAACCATATTATATTATGTTAAAGTGTAAGTTTTCATCGAGATACTTCAATTTATTCGGCATTTTTAATCAACATTAGTTCATTTCATTGACACGAGAATATATGAAAACGAGTTCATACCTCTAAAAGCTTTCGAAATTGAGCTCCGCGTGGACAAAAATAACATAGTCGCGGCCCGCGGCGTCGCACAAATCTAATTACAGTCCGTCCGTCTGCCTAGTACATACGTGTGCTTCAGAGGGGGCTATAATTTGATTTGTAGCTTTGTTGTACACTTGCTTTTATGTCTAGGTAAACTTTCCCGTGGATTAAGTAGAGCCCCAAATATATAGCACGTATTGTGGTGACAAGGCGAGCTCTTTCAATTATTACTTTTGATAGAAATCGCTTTTACGTGTTTTACGGTTCTTGGAAAAGCCTCCAGTAGAGTGCGGGGGTGAGCGGGGGTGTGCGGTGGGGCGCGGTGCGGCCGGGCAGCGCAGGTGCGCACTATCGATCGCGGGCAGGTGCGCCGCCGTTCTCTCTCTCACACACACATACATACATACATACATGTTGTCATATAATTTTAAACATTAATTTCATGTCAGTTGAGTGTATGGTAGTTGAATAGGTTTATCCTTGACATACGTCATCTTCACCTAGGACGTGTTACATTGTCTCGTACAAAATTAATTTACAGATGACATGCCGTAAATGTTCAAGATATTATTATTATTATTCCAGAATTCCAGAACACGTGATAAAATCAATTGTGTGTGTGCGAAGTAAATAATGAACTCTTGCATACTGTAATACCCGAGAAAACACAAATGCTTTACATCTCCGGCACTTAATACAAAGTTTCTGTATATCAAATAGAGGCAAACCTCAGAGCGAGCTGTTAATATAACTTTGTAACTTATGGTATACCCCCGCGCACACCGCTCCCCGCTCCCCGCGTCCCGCACCCCGAGCGCCCCGAGCGCCCCGAGCGCGGGCCCGGGCGGAAGCGTAACGAGCACGCAGCCACCACAGGCCGGATTACTTCCCCTAACGTTAACAAACACGTTAACATGTTAAAAGAAGTTTATACATCAAAGGGTTGTCGGAGTTTGGCAAATTTACTTATAGTTGGTACACTAGTGAGAGATTTTTATCTTACAGTTTAATTACAAATTCTTAGAGAATTTTATAATATCAGCTAATTATTTATGAAGAAATTTGCTGAGCTAATGTAATTGTTTCTTTGAAGTTAAAATAAGCGGTCTGAAGTGGAGCACGGCGAGTGCGGGGAGTGGAAATGGACGCGGAAGGGAGGGGGAACTTAATTAATTTTGCTAATATAACACACGGAATTAAATCGTAAACCATTTTATTAGCTTTTCTAAACATAACAAGCGCAAGTCTCCAGTAAAAGATTGTTTTATAATGTAATTAGTGTACTTCGAATATGTATAATAATTCCTAGAAGTATTATTCAAAAGTATGTTTTCAATATGAAGGAGTATATTTATCGTTTATGTTTGTATTTGTATTTATCATCTGTAAGTTGAACAAAACGGAAAATAAATTAAATTTATTATAAAAAGCTAATGTGAAGTGTTTAATTTTACAATATCGCACGAGGCAAGCGATCGATCTCGAATGTCACGGCAGTACTACACGGGTAAGTTAGTAGTGTCGTAGACGAGCTACAAAAGCGTGTAGCTCAGCTACGCCTTTTCGTTTCATACGTTAGCTTTGTTCGGTCTTTCGTGGCACAAGGGTGAAGCACTGAAATGGTCTCTAATGAATTAAATATTAATAATGGTTATTGAAAAATTTGTTGTTACTTACAAGGGCACTTCTGTTGGTGACCGTTTGATGGATTCCTTCTTTATCGATCATAGCTGAAGCTCGAGGTGGTATGCTGAAGGTCGTCCGTTGCCATGGCGACGCGCCTTCGCAAACACTCTCACCTCACCCGAAAACTTAGCCAAGTTCGAAAAGCGCCTTGAATGGTTTAAGGCGAAATAAGTACATCACTTGATTTATTTATTTTTGAATATAATCTTGATCGCTCTTGCGAATACTATTAGACATATAATAACTTTATTTTGTGTCTTTATAAATAGTTATATTTATCTTTTATCAATTTAAATTTAATATATTCTATGACATAAAGACATCGTTAAGTACAAATTTTTAATATTGATTGATGTAGGGCGGAGAGTTTCCCAGGTCCTTGGTTCGTTTTCGTCCGTATCGTTAGTGCTTCAAGTGAACCGGCTCACGGCGGGCGGACAAATTTAGCATCTCGAATGAAGAGCGGCACCGCTTGTTAAATTCTCACGGCCCCCCGGCCTCGTTTCCCCGCCACC